GCCACAGGAAGACCTTGAACATCAGTGAGCAGAGGTGTGATGTGACCCGAGAATTTCGAAGCAATCTGTAATAACATGCTCTTCCTCATCCTTTGTCCCTCAAAGCCATCCTCCATCGAAGCCTAAAGCTTCCATCTCTGCTTCCCCTACCACCCCATTCCTTGGGTCCAGGAGGACTAGATTCCCCTTAAGCAGACCCCTCCCAAGGCACCTGCTTGGCCTTTGCCACCTCCAGGCCACGCCCCTCTACTCCTTCTAGCCTGCACTGCAGAGTCACCCTCTCCAGGCGTTGCTGTTGTTTCTGTCCCTCTCTGGCTCCCAGTGACAGAGGCTCTGCTGCCACCTCATTAGGTCCAGACAGCTCTGCTGGACTTCCCACCCAGCTCCAGGCTCCACCCAGCTCTCCACAGGACCAGCCACCTCACCACTAAATGACTTCAGTTCATTCCTTCTCAGGGCCAGCATCACATTGAACACACCCTCCTCCACTTCTGCCCTGAGACTCAGGACCTTACAGTGCACCTCTGGGCTGCCTCCTCCAGGAAGTCCTCCTGACTACCAGGCCCTCCCTCCCCTACCCCTACCGGCTCTTAACCAGCTGAGGCTTGATAACCTGCTATTTTGTGTGCTTTTCTCCTCCCCACTATTCTAGTGGGAAGGACCCAGATGGTACAGTACAGTCAGACAGCCCTGAATGGGAATTCTGGCTCCTGCTCCTAGGAATGACCTTTGGACAACTTAACAGAACTTTCTGAGTCTCTTTTCTCACCTGTGAAATGGGATAATGATACCCATTTCCTAGAGTCGTGAGAATCAAATGAAGTGATGCAATTAAAGTGCCTCACAGAGCCTAATATACAGTAGGTCTAAACACATGGTAGTTTCTTTATCCCTCAGGACCTTCTGAGCTCCAAGTGTACTGCTGAACACACAGTAGATACACAATAAAAATCCAGTGATGAACTAAATGAATTTCTGTGTTTGTTAGTTTTATTATGATGATGATGGAGATCACACCTCAGAGGGTAAAAGAGGTCCCCTGTAGGTTTCCAGGGATCTTTGAGATTTACAAAACAGAATCAGAAAGGTATAATGTCAGAACTGCGTTTTGAGTCAATAGGCTGATGCCAAGAGGGAGAATGTAATGTATTCAGTTTTATTAGAAATGCAAACAAAAGCTCTTTGGTGCCTGGAATCCTGATCCCTTTATCTTCTCACCCTCGCTGTCCCTTAAAGAAACAAAGAGATAGATCAAAAAGGCCCAGTGGCCGGTGGGCAGACAGACAGCCAGTAAGCTCAGTGCAACCTGCACACGCTGAGATTCTGCCCACAGGAGAGTTAGTCCAGCTGCGAGGCTCAGCTTGAATGTCTTGGAAGCCAGTGAACTCCATTTCCAGTCGGCCTGACAATAGCCTCAGCCATACTTGGCACTTTTCAGAGTTCTCCATGTGGTGGATTAGTTAATCCTTAACATGGCCCTGCCATGGGGATCGATGCAGACTTGTGCTATGATTAGTAGAGAGGGGCCTCGCCAGGGGCCCTAGAGCAGTGAGAAGTGAGGCACCACCCAGGCCTGTCCGTAGGGGGTCCTTAGACAGGAAGATAAGGAGGTGGCTTTGTCAGCCAGGCAAGGAAGACTTGAACTTTTGAATGTATAGTCAACTTGTCTGCACAGTAGGTAGATAGGGCATACAATTTCCAGGGTGCTGCATCTTTTGTTGAAGTGACTCTTGCGAATAACATTAGCCTCTGTACTAAGCCCTTCCTGTAAGTGACATATCATTTATGCCTCCAGCAACCCTTTCCAGGAGGTACTTGTATTGTTCCAGATGAGAAAAATGTAACATTTGCTCAAGAGCCCATTGCTAGAAAGGATTCCTGGGATTCAATTTCATGTCTGAGCCCCAAACAGTGCCTTAGCCCCTATATGAAATTCCACTTCAGATACAAAAAAAAGAAAAAAAAGCCCAGCACAGGACCCCCAAGCTTGGAGCCCACCTGTTTCACCATAGTTGGAGGTGGGCTTCATCACCTTCCAGTGTATGGGGCTGCAAGAAGCAGCCCTCATCCAGCCTCAGCTTCCTCACCGGAAGACCATTCCCAGGTCCAGAGTTGCTGTGAGGATGAAATGAGATCACTCTCAGGAAAGCCCTTTACCAGGAAGC